TGCATATCTTTACAGTATACACTGTACCACTATAATATAGAGGGTTTGTCATCTGAATAATATTATCTAGATCTAGTTACCATTAATTTCATTGTTTTTACACAATTACAACAAATTAATCAGCTACATATTACACTTGATGAATGAAAAGACATAAATTCATCTACAGAATAAAAGGAATGTTTCAGCAAAAAAAGATTTTAGTTCCTTTTTAAATGACTACATGGTGTTATGTTCCAGACAATAGAAGTATTTTTAAAAATAATTAATTTCAACCGAATCCAGGCTTTCAGTGGAATAAACAGGTCTGTAGAAGGCTGGAAATTTAGAACAGATGAATGACTCTTAGCTTCTCAAGTAGGACTTCGCTTTCTATATATACTTCTGATATAATTAATTTTTGTTGTACCACCAATTATAACCATGTATGAGGAGGATACACCACAAATACTCATCAACATTACTTTAGTAACACTTCTGTTAACAGTTCTTGCCGTTGGGAAATCTGTTTGTTTTGCCTGATTAACATTAGGAACTTTAATTGATTTTTTTGTGGTGTTGTATAATGATGTTCTACTGATTTTAAACTTTAACAGAATATTTCATGTAAGCTTTTTTAAACCATTAAAAGTTGTTTAAGAATATTGTGTAAAATCATTTTAAATGTTACATAAAATGTTCCCAAATCATCATGGGTTGTGAGCCACATCAATCTTTAACTAGAAACAAATATTTCAGAGATCTCTGAAACATTAGTTTTTTGTTCAAGATTGGTGTGGTTGATTGTCTGAGAAGATTGTAGCACATTTTTTGCCATGATAGCTTCACATATTGTTACATGAAATAACTCTTACATATTGTGTAAATGCTAGAAAGATCAAACGTTGTACAACTATAGGTAAATGTGTATATACAGCTGTATTATGGTACTGAAGGTGGTCCAGTGAGACTGAAATGTGTATGTTTGCAGCATGTGCATTTATGTATGAGTTATCTAACAATGCATGGAAGAGTAGTTCTGACCTAACTTGTACTATTGCAACATTTGCTGGAGGATATGAGAAAACCGTGGATAATCTCAGTCAAGGTAGTTGGTTTGGAGCTGAGTTTTGAACCTGTGACTGTCCCAGTACAAAGCAGGTGTGCTACCCATTGAACTATGATGTTTGATTTTAAACGGTAATAATTTTTGGTGGTACATTGTTGTGAAGTAAGAACATGATTAGTCAGTTAAGTAGATCTAACACAAATTATTTTGTCTCACTTCATTTCTTCCACTGTACAATTTTATTTGGCGTCTAATTGTAATTGCTAGACATAACATAAACCACTGTTATCTGTCTAATGTGATTCTCAGTCTTTGCCCCGTACATTACTGTTTCCTTTGTTCTCTATTAAGATTTTCAAGTAATCCACATTTTTTTGTGTGTCAGACAACAAAACTTTAAAAATGAATAAGAAAAATCTCATTAAAGAACCCCACTTGAAGACCAAGGTACAAGTAGAAAATATAGCATGAAGTCTGTTTGACAGGTCTAGCTTCAAATAGGTCTGGGAGAAGATTCTTTTATTCAGTTTCTGTTAGTTTCACTGAAGGATATCATTAAGCAATAGGTACTTTGAACTCAGGGATACTGAGTTTTTGGACATTGTCCGTTGCCCAGTAGTATAGAAAATTAACTTTCAGAAACTGGATCTGTTTTTATCCTCAGGTGAAAGTCTGTGAGACATCCACACTTTTGGGTCCATTAACATCAATCACTGGACACCCTAAGTCAGTATAACTGCACATACATATGCAAAACCCATGCACAGAACATTTGCAATAGGTACACCACATGTGTAACACACACACAACACAAATGGAGAATGTGCACAACGTATTTAATGAACAACACACACACAGCAATATGCAACAAACAACAGAACACACACAGTACATACGTAACACACACCCACATTCACACACGCATACCAGCAGCAGCAGCAGGAAGAGTAACAGTACACAACACACAAAGTTGAATCCTGGAACTGAACTCGTTTGAAATATTTATACCTTGTTGGAAATGGAATGGTTAGACATAAAGGTAAAAAGGTAACGTTCCTGTGCTTATCTAATTATGCATTATGTTATGAAGGCATATGGGGGAGTGGATGTATAGATCAACATTTTTCTTGACCTCTGCACTAGTTGGAGGTGAATGGTCAACTTCACGATCCGGCCGCTTTACCTCCAGAGAAAGAACCCTTGGTACCCCTTAGATAGGAGGTTGGGTGGACCCCAGAGCCGGTCTGGACGAAATGGGGAAGAGAAAATACTTGACCCTACTGAGACTCGAACTCTGACCCCTCAGTCATCCAGCTGCAGCCAGTTGCTATACTGACTACGCTATCCTGCCTCCCTGTCCTTAGATGTGCATTGATTAATGTTGTACCCTGAACATTGTATGTGTTTGTGTATAATACTGTCGCGTGTTGGTTGTATAACGTGACAGATAACCTCATGCCATCTTGGATATAGCGAATTTATTGAACACTTGCTCTCACAATTACACAATTTACAATTTCCCAACTACTGCCATCAGCTTTCTCACAAGTACTTCTCCTGTAGTCACTGCCATGCACTCGATACAACCCGACTTGGTGACTGCTAGATTGAAACTGACTTGATGACTTCACAATCCACACCGTGTCACTCCTAATCACACATACTGCTCAGACGGCTTTTTATACCATTCCCTGTTGCCTCGTGTTACTAGCGGTGTCCCCGTGTTACGTCACAGTGTGAAGTGATGTTACCTCACCATGGGGGAGGGGGATGGAGTGTTGACTGGCCTGTTACTGTAGCTGCGGCAGTTGCTCCGATGTTACGTCACCGTGGCATTGGTTGTCTGACACAGTTGCTCTTCTGTTACATCACTGCAAGGGGGGGGGTCTGCATAGTGCAAATCACAATATAATATTGAGAATTCAGATGAGTATTTATTAATAACTAGCTGTACCCGACCACGCGTTGCTGTGGCAGATCGAGCGAATTAAAAAATTCTGTTGGATAATTAACCGCTTCAGCTGCTTCCACAACAGTGTTGACAGACTTGTATGTGACTGCCTCGCAGTGAACGTTAGACTGAATGATATCGTTAAGTTCGTAGACGTCTTTGTTCTTGGCTGCGAGAATAGCTCGTTCACTCAGCCAATCGTGATTCTTATAATTGGTTTGAATATTGGGAAATACTTCTTCAACCAATTCTTCTTTTGACATCACTAAATTGCAGAAGTTATGAGACAACAAAATTCGTCCTGAGGTCAGATCAACCAGCACCTTTCTGTTCCCAATTTCCAGCAATTGATGTGAGAATATCTCAGCTGATCGATCGTTTTGCAGCTGGACACGCATATTTGTAGTTAATTTTAACGTCTTTACGTGTCGCCACAAAGTAGAGTATTTCAGGCAAGCATATATTTCGTCCGCTGGTGTCGATCGAGGAATTACAGGTAATGTTCACCCAAACTCTCCTGCAAGCAATATTAATGTGTTCCCGAATGGTCTGATGTTTCCACGCAAATCTTGCAATGATCGATGAAGAGCCTCGAGTGATTTTTTGTGCGCCATTGTGCATTCATCCCGAACAATAAGTTTGCATTTCTGCAATACCCTTCCCATGCCTGATCCTTTGGAAATGTTGCACGTGGGAGTTTCAATGAATTGCATGTTCAATGGAAATTTCAAAGCGGAATGAGCAGTTCTTCCACCCGGTAGCAATGTCACAGCTATTCCGGATGACGCAAGAGCTAAGGCTATGTCATTTTGGGATCAAATTGCTGCCAGAATCAATCTAATTAGGAACGTTTTACCAGTTCCTCCTGGCGCATCTAAGAAGAATTCTGCAACCCCGTTATTGACAGTTTGCATTATTTGATCGTAAATGCCTTTTTGCTCAAGCGCTAGCTTAGGAATATTTGATTGCACATATGACAAAAGATCACCCGTGTTGTAATTTTGTTCACGACGCAATTCTACATTGAACGAAGCAGCAGCAGATCTATTCAGTGATGGCATTCCCAATTGACTGAGAATTTTGTTCGCGATTTTTTAAGCACAAATCTTCAATCATTATTAACGCTTTGTTGCAGATTTCTGCTGTGAAATCCATATTCATATTGGAATTTTCCTTGTGTATGCGACGGAAAATATCTTCAGCCATGCGCGATTTATATTTCTCCCATAACTCTTTGGAGATGAAGGAGAGCAGGCAGTCAGTATGATTGCAAACAGTGCACAAATTTGATGTGGATGTTTTCTGAAATGTGAATAACATGGAAGCGAAGTGTTTTCTTTTCTCGTTTAGGTCATTTTTCTGGATTTTTTCGGTCATTTTTTTAATATTTTCAGGTCATCAAAATCTGGGCCCTGCATATTACATTTTTGGGTCATATTTTAGGTAATTTTATGGATTTTTTTCAGTAATTTTATAGGTCATTTTTTAAATATTTTCAGATCATCAAAATCTGGGCCCTGGTAAGCATAAATACAAATCTAAAGTCAGTGATGTTGGATAGATTGGAATAGTTTATGTGTGCAGTTGCTGAATGGCAGATTTTGTACAGTACTGTAGAAGAAGGAGAAGATATGGAAAGAATAAGAACTAATAGTAGTATTTGAGGTTTTCATGGTGGTAGTTCCGAAAATTTCTGTCTTCTGAGATATAATGCTATGTAGTCAGTCGAAAGTCACCCAACATTTTATAGGAACATGATGCTTCCATATTTAGGGTAAATAGTAAGCTGAGCTTGCTCATTGCTTTCTTCCTCCTGATTCCTTGTGTAGCTTTCTCTTCAGCCCTGAAGATGGAGGCGACATGTTCCTCCAAAATGTCAGTTGACTTTTAACTGACATGTGGCATTACATGCCAGAACATAGAACTTGTCAAGATTTGGTAGGATGTCAGTATCTTGGAAGGTTACAGAATGTATGTTAGAAGTCACTGTTTGTGTTCTAGATGTGCTGCTTTGGACTTCAAGATTTCAAAATCTCAAAAGAAAGTTATAAAGAGACTTAATCGTTTCCTGTCCCATGGAGACACGAAGGCTGGTGATGACTCAAAATCTGCAGGAGAAAGCTTCTCAACATTAGAGTACTCTGGTAAGAATGTGGGAAGATCATTCAATAGATGCGGCAATCCAGATGGAGATATACAGCCGTGTTATAAATTATTTTGTGCTGAGTTCTGAAACATGTTAGCAGTGAAGCAACTGATGCCACAGCTTCTTGTGGTACTTTTTGATGCCTACTTTGATGCTCTTTTTATGTTTTCTTATGGCACCCTCTTTACACTTTCTTTGCACAAAGTATGTTAAACACATAATTGGAAGGTCGCTTCAGTCTTCCATGTAAGTATTTCCTATCAGATAGTATGAAATGGTTTCAGTGCTTGATGTGGAGGATCTGTGGTAAAAGTTGTCAAGTGAATATCATTCCTTTCTGATGTAAGCCTTAGTTTATGTGCAATTCAAATCCATCTTTTTCAATTTGTGAAAATGGGTCATAAAAGTAACTAAGTACATAGTATAAAGTATAGTATCATTAATGTCTGTTTCAGAAAAAAATGTAAGGAGAATATTTATCTCTGTACTGTTCATTGTCTCTATTAAAAATAGATTTCTAAGTGAATATTCAGACCATTGAGGCATGCAAAGAGCACATGTGGTTCAACCTCATTGCAGCTTAGTGACTTTGTGTTAGTCTGTAGCAGGCAACAGTCTGAGAAATGTGAAACCTACTGAAAGGTACTGTTGTGGTCCATTCGATGGACAGACCTTTCTGGCTCTCAGCTTTGCACTGACGCATGTTTCACGCATCTCATAAGGTTGAGGTACTATGCTACAAGCCGGAAGGTCGTGGGTTCAAGTCCCGATGAGGTCATTGGCTTTTTTTTTCAGTTGACCTAATCCTTCCAGCCGCACTATGGCTCTGGGGTCAACTCAGCCACTAACATAAATGAGTACCATGATTTAATTAAATAATTTTCCTGGGGAGTAAAGCGCAGCCGGTGCGTAAGGCTGACAATCTTACCGCCATCTTTGAGCCGATTGTCTAGATAATGTGGGACCCTCAACGTCTCACAACCCTATGGGCCTTCTCGGTCTGTTACGGGGATAGCTTTACTTTTTCTACTCTTACTTTACCAGCAAATTTTAGTATATGTTATCTAAGTATTTACCAATATAGTGATGTGCGGCATTTTTCTGTGGTTCATAAAAAGTGAATTGTTGGAGTGGTTAGGTGCTGGTTACATGTAGGTTCGTATGTGGTTGGATTGTTATTTGCTTGTGTGCAGCATGGGGTATGTATTTTGTCATCATGAGGGTTGTACTACCATGAAGAGGCAATTTGTTATTTTTTTATTTTTCTTCCTGTAATTAGTTGATCCTGTTTGTTGTGCATATAAATGTAAAATTTATCCTTGATGTTCATTAAATGGCCCTTTTAGCGGCCTCCATAGTCTAGGGGTAACATTCCCACCTCGTGACTCAAGGTATGTGGGTTCAAACCCGGCAGAGGTCGTGGAATTTTTAAGGGCAGAAAAATTCAGGGAACAAGTCCTCTGGGAGGGACTTTAAGCTGTGGGTCCCGTGTCGTAGCTTTACGGCACATAAAAGAACCTCATGTCTCAAGGGGACCTCTGAGCCAAATTCAGGACATTTCCCTTCCAACAGTAGGCTCTAACGCCTCTGGTAGATGGGGGAAGCATCTAGATACCGCCGAGCCAGTAGAGGCTGAACTCGCTGGCTGAGTCGGGACTGATGGTACGCACCAGTACCGGTAGGGTATAGAGACTGGTAGAATATCACAGGGGGATGCACAATGGACCAATATCTGGTCTAAGTGCGGGGGGGAACCCACCCTCTCCAACAACAACAACAAATGGCCCTTTTAAGAGTCTTTTTCTCCCATTGTGTCTTTTATTTATCTATATTAATGGATGTACTAGAAGATGTGTAGTGTATATGCAGAATCTTCTTTATTGTATTTTATGTTTTCTGTGTGTTCTTTGTATCTGTAGGATTTTCTACAATATGAACATATGTGTGTGTGTGTGTATTTTCATACTTTTGTTGCTGTGTGGGTAGGTTTTGAAATATTATTACTTGTTGTAAATGCTCTTTTGATTTTTGTATTCTTGAATGATTTTGTGATGCTACATATGTAGTGGACAGAGTTAGTGGAACACCCCATTTTACTTTTGAACTGTTTGATTGTTTTGGAATGGTTTTTTGTTTTAGATTTGGTTATACAGCCGTGTTATGAATTCTTTGTTATAACCCTTGTTTTCTCCTATGTTAATGATGGTGCTTAGTTCTTTATGTTTTTTGCATCATCTACAGGTAATCTGTTTAATCTGAGAATAGAGCTGTAAAATGTAGTTTTCTTTTTCTCCTGGGTGGCATGAGTTGTTTATTATTATATCTATTGTGGTTGGTTTTCTGTTGTCACATGTTTGAGTGACTATTGATGGTGTGTGGATTCAACACTTTATTCAACACTTAAGTTCGTGACTACAAGTGCCTGTAGTGCTATCACTAATGCAAACACTCAGCAGTTTATTATAGCATGCACTAAGCCTTCTCAATCTGCTGTATATTTACTGGTTGTTGGCTGGTGCGGCTCTCAACTCCATAGCTTCTCCCCATATTCCAAGTACATGTCATTACTGGCCAGTGACTTGCTCACAGCTAACTCATTGGTCCACTTGTCTTGCGTGTAACATCTCAGGATGGATCACACAGAAAGCACTGTTCCTCTATTTCCTTTCAATTATTGCTTAGTGGACCATGCAGAAAACACCATTCCTCTGTTGCTTTCAGTTGTTGCCTATCAGTGGCTGCTGTACAGTTGGTAGTCTTGTGGTTGCTGCCTAGCAGTGGGTCTACGTACCACAATATATTTCTATGGCTTATTTATTTATTAGGTTGAGGTCCAGATTAACAGATTGTTTTCTTTTGTGAGTGTGATTTGTAGGGTTTTGTGTTGCTTATTAAAATTGTCTCTTCTGTTTTTTTGTAGTGTAATTCTGATTTTGTTGTGTACAGTGAGAATGTCATATACGTAGGTCGTACTGAAAGTTATGAGCAACAGTTTTTTGTAAAGTAACATGCTCTATTATTGACAAACCAAATACACCACCTCAATCTACAGACCTTTCTTTATTTTTCCACATAATCGCCACTTCTTTGTACACATTTCTCCCAGCGTTCTGGGAGTTTGAAAATTCCCCTTCCATAAAATTCCATTCCAGCCATCCGAAGACACTGACGTACTGCTTTCTGAATTCAGATGAGCCTCGGAGCGGTCGTTCTCGAACAGCCTCAACTGAACGCAACAAGGAAAGAGTGGATGAGATCATTCAAGATGACAGGCATGTGACTGTGGACACAATAGCCTGAAAACTTGAAATAGGGCACAGTGCAGTACAGGAGATGATTGAAAGCTTGGGCTATAGGAAAGTTTGTGCTTGTTGGGTCCCGCGGTTATTGACCGAAGACTACAAAGGTCACATTGGAAGCAATTGCAAAGATGGGGTGGGAAATTCTTCCATACCCTTCCTATAGCCCTGATCTGGCACCCTCTGACTACCATCTTTTCGGATTTGTGAAGGGTCAGCTGCGTGGACAACCTTTTGAGACAAGGGAGGCAATTCAGAAAGCAGTGCATCAGTGTCTTCGGATGGCTGGAACAGAATTTTACAGAAGGGGAATTTTCAAACTCCCAGAATGCTAGGAGAAATGTGTACAAAGAAGTGGTGATTATGTGGAAAAATAAAGAAAGGTCTATAGATTGAGGTGGTGTATTTGGTTTGCCAATAATAAAGCCTGTTATTTTACAAAAAATTGTTGCTCATGACTTTCAGTACGACCCTTGTAGTTATCTAACATAGCAAGCAATTATCTTGTATTACAGAGTGTAGTTTCATTATTTGCTGTTCTAAAATTTGTGAGATTTCTGTTATTATGCTGAGTATTGGTGTGCCCATTGCAATACCTTTATTGTGTTGTAAAAGTCTTGTTCCATTGAAGGCAGTTCTGATATATTATTGTTTTCGAAAAGGTTATAATTTATTTATTGATTTGTTCATCAGTATTATACATCAGTTATTGTGTTTCTGGACATTATCCATTGTCCTGTTTTTATTTAAAACTCAGTGTTTTGGAGACCGAATTCTTTCTCCATCTCCAACTGAATAGGTTCCACCTGAAGACGGAGACAGAATTCAGTCTCCAAAATGTTGGGTTTTAAATAAAAACAGGATGATGGGTAATGTCCAGAAACACAGTAGTTTTATTAATATACCATTGTCACAGACTTTTAAATCTTATAGCTGAAAATGTTATGAAACAAAATAATGTTGGCTGGTACTGGAGTCATTCAGTTGTGGGCTGTTGTGACTATTAATGAACAAAGAGTGTGATATTGTCACGTGTAGGTGTGATTATAGGCGCAGGTTTGGCTCAGTGAGTCGATTTATTGGACATGAACCAGGCTGAACTACAGTTGATTATAACACTTCATAACTATGAACAGTAATGATACCAGATAAACTAAAGAATTCACTTCTGACTTCTGACTTCTCCTGATTTCTTTGGGCATCTTCTTTTGACTTCTGTATCTGAGCTTCTACACTCAGGGCTCATTCCAGGTTATAACTGTTAGGCAGCTGTGATAGCAGACACTGCGTCGAAGGGTTCTGTTCTGCTGTTTGAGATCACATTATTTAGGAAACCATTGTAATTACAATGGTTACCATATCTGCAGCTGTGTATTTGTTTACAATGTACCTTCAGAACGTGTGTAGCCAATCATTACCTAGCAGTGGCTGACTTCCCTGTGGGAACAATGTACCCAGTCGCTGGCTGGCAATTCATGTTTTCTCCAACTTCGATATTTCAGTTTTTAGGCAGCAAGTCACAATATTCTGGATTGTAACACCATATAGTTCAGGAAAAACTCTCGTCTATCTTCAGGTTTAGATGGTAAGCCAAGCAGACAGCCAGTAGAAGCAGGTGGCAGCTGGTTTCTTGCTTGGCTTATGCTTCAGACCTGAAGATGGAGGCACAGTATGCGTCCCTGAAATGCCATATTTTCTCTGAAGTACATGGCATTACAACCCAGAAGAGCATACTCTTTGTAGCCACTGCTGTTAGAACCTCAAATCCAACAAATCTTTGGACTAAATGAAAGATGGGGAATTTCTTGGGTATCAGAGTGACTGTTAGCTCTCCTGAAGGACTCTGCTGCTTGGTGTTGGTTGCTTGTGTAGTTTTGTAAGGAGCCATTGCTTTGATACATTTAATTTCCGGATTTGTATATATTTTCAGACTTTTCTGGAGTGATGGACATCCCCGATCTTCATCAGAAAGTACTGAGAGCTGAGAAGAATTTTGAAAATACCAAAATAGTCTCAGTGGATCCATCTTTATCACGGAGATTAGGTGGGTGTAATTGCAGAAATGAAATGGTGAAGTACACACCTGTGATTTCAGTTGCTGGAGAACAGCAAAACAGAACTTCATGATTGATACTCTTGACCGAGTTTTTGTTGGGCGTTGCTGCTTCCAAATGTCTTTGCTTTAACTTGTGTGAAAGCTGAGGATTAGCCAATTGGAACTGGGGCAGATGGACTATGTTTACAGTATGTAACTATTAAAATAATGAGTGGGAAGTGGGAGGAAGCTGTGTTTCCAGTTACCTACTTCTTTATAACATTATTCATTGGGGTTCAGCCATTGGCCTAAACAAATCATATAAACATGTGTTTTATCAAATGAAAGGTGTTTCCACCTTCCATGATCTGATGACATCATAGTATGTATCCTTTGGGGGTCTTTCCCTTGTTTGAATTTAAAGTGAGTCATATTCTTTAGAATGGATGTGCCTATTCTGATAAAATTCTGAGGAATGAACACGTCCAATAAAAGCATGTAGTGGCATATATGTTCTTCAGAGCACATTTTTGGTAATAAACTGTTATAATTTAATATTACATGGGATGTTTTTGGTAAGGTTTATGGCTTTTTGAATAATGCAAGAATGAGAGTAAAGATGTATGAAAATAAGAGACATCCTTCTTGATCAGCATGGGGTGACCTCATCTCACTTCTGCCCTGTAGCTAGACCTGCAGCTCATTGGTGTCTAATGTCTTGTGACATAGCTTTGTAAATTTATATCAGAGACAGAAGTAGGTCACAGACTGCATCATATTTAAGCTTGGATTTGAGAACATCTTTTCTTGCTTATTGGATTTTAGGAACCACTCACTTTAGTGACGTTGTGGTGTGATTGTGCAAGATGTGCTTGGTGTTCACAGAAGATGTTGAATGACATTTATGCTGAGGATATGTTTCTGCCTTAGTTAATTATGTGGAGAACAGGAGTTTTAATTCCTGATCTGTCAGCAGCAAGAATAATTTGTAAGTGCTGAGTGAAGTGACAGCCACTGTAATATTTGCCTCAGTCAAACTACGAGTAACAAGGAAGTAAGTAAACCAGGAAGAGGATAAAGGAAAAGGCATATACTCAGAAATGAAAACAAAATAATGTTGTACATTCTCACTGATGGATCAAAAAATGAATAGAAGTTACTTATCATTTTTATTTTATTATTTGCTTCTATGACGCTATGGCCGTAATTGGACATTTGGAACCCTGGAACCCCAAAAATATGTGTAGAGAAATGGTGCAAGCAGTAAGAGCTAAGATGTAGGATGGGTTTGCCATACTAGTGGTTAGGCTGAAGGAAAAGATTGCTGAAACAGCATGTAGAAGTACAGGGTAATTGAAGAGATTGTAATCAGGCCATTAGGAAGTTGCTGATGAGTAGATGTCAACTATTAAATACCTTGCATTGGAGATACACGAGACCTGTTCGATAGAAAAGTTATACTGGTGTCAGAGGCCCCTGTGCTGCAGGTTACCGCAGAATTGTTAATGAGAAGTTATGCAGCAAAAGTAACACCCGAGACTGTCACCAACACCCTGGGACCTGTGAAACAATTAGTTGCTTCACCGTCTTCGCAGCCATATTTCACATTGTGTAATCAGAGAGCCAGAGAAACAAGTAGGGTTTGACCTAGGATGGATAGGATTCTGTCTGTCTTTATTCCTGTTGCTCCCACTTGAAGCATAGGGCATCCATGAAAAGCTTCATTTCACTTCAGTTTCTTAATCCTAGACAGTCAGTAGGTCTCCTTGGACTGGGGATCAGCCTGTGTAAGGCTGCTACCTACACAGGACAACAGAAACAGAATAAATGCACACAGACACCCATACTTTGAGTGGGATTCAAACTCATGAGCCCAGTGTTTGAGCAGATGAAGGCATTTCTTGCCTTAGACCACATGGCCGCTGTGATCATGATGGATAGGATTAAGAGGATGGAAGTAACTAGTTCATTATACTTCAAGTCCATGCATAGAAATACCGTAAGATATTAATAATAATGTAAATAAACATCCCCCTGTGTTTTGAGTTTAATCCACTACCCCATTTCAGAAGAGGTACTCTTATTGTTAGAGGCTGTATGTGACAGCGACCAGTGCAGATGGGCTAAATTAAGTGTAGACCCCTCTTGATACCCGGTTCTTTAATCCTGTATCTTGAAAGATCACCTCATGCATACTGACCCTTTTGATAGGTCAACCTGCTGATGGGCTAGAGAGAGCAGCAGAAGTTAGACAGAACTAACTAAATCAGGGGACAGGGCACCCAGCTATAGTCTTGAGGTAGCTCAGGTACACAGTACCCGAGGTTTGTCCATTCTCCTATATAACCATCACAATTGGCACTTTCATTGAAAGTGCCACTGTATAACAATTGCAAGTTGTTTATTATTTTATAATTCTCTATTTGTTTTAATGAATTAATCCTTGAACCAAGTTAGAGGTGTGTACCACCATGAAGATGAAAACATATATTGCAGCTGGAGCCACCCTATGTCATATCCCAAAAATGATAGATTTAAGGTAAGCCTTTCATAATAAAACATGACAATTACAGAACTGATGGTCATTAAGTCGGAAAACTTTGAACAAATGGAGAGGATATTCAAGTATGATACACCAGTCATTGCATGGCCTTGAAGGACTGATTTGTTTCCTGTAGCTGAATAAGCACACCACACAGTGCATTCACTGAATTAAAATACTGTTTCATTATTTTAACCCTTTGAAGACTTCTTTAAATGGCATCCTGTCTGCCCTTGCAGCTGCATTTTAAAGGGCAGCAAGCCCTGCTTTTGCAGTGTTACCTTATTTTTTTAGAGCTTTGGTGTTTATTGATAAATAAGATGCATACTTTGGTGAAAGAAAACTACAGAAGAGTGTAAGACTGCTATGTGTTGATGACAAGATGAAATAGTTGAAAACTCTGAAAGTAACCTCCAAAATGTCTTGCAGATATGGTATGGCTGTTTGAACACAGTGGTCATCTAGATCTTAGAGATGGTATTATAGTTGACGATGGAGGAAGTGTGTGTTCCAAGGATTATCTGAAGATATTTTGTTTGTTTACATTTACATTTAAATGTAGTACATCAGGCTGAACTAAAAGATTCAGTCTTGTGTTCTCTTCTATACATATGTGATATTTATGTTTTATCATGTTCTCTTAGAGGGTTTGAGAACAGGGAGCTGAGTAGAATATTTGTGTCTGTAACTTTATTCTTTTCACATTTTCATGGTCCTGCATTGAATTTCTCATGAAAGGCGTGAACCCTAAGGGATTGTACTCTTGTGTGAATGACAGAATAGGGGTGAGATCCCAAAGTGTAGAAGGTTAATTAATCGCCAAGTAAGCCATGCTCTGATTGAATTGGTGGCCACTGTTGAACTATTTTGTTTCAGTAATTGATGAGCTGTGAACTGTACTAAGTACCGTATTTACGCATGTATAGGCCGCAGCACAATTTTCAGACAAATTATAGAAAAAATAATTTTCTTGGAATATTATTTCAGGAATAGAAATTATTCCGAAATTTGGCAACATTTGGAGGGTTATAACTTTTTTGCCTTTACTTGACTTGCCTGGTTAGTTCTGAGTGAAACATGGGTCGAGTAAGAGCAGGTTATACGTCTAAATTTAAACTTCAAGTGGTGCGTTACGTACAAGAACACGGAAATCGAGCAGCAGGGAGAAAATTTGACGTTGACGAAAAAATGTGCGAAGATGGATACTAACGAAAGATGCCCTTGAAAAAACGCCACAAAATCGACAATCTTTCCGCGGAAAGAAAGCTAAATTTCCAGAACTTGAAAATAAACTTCTGCGATACGTGCGTAATACACGGGCGGATGGATTTTCAGTGTCTGTGGAAATGATTCAATTTGAAGGCCTCAAAATAGC